TGTATTATTAAACGTAACATGGATGTATTATGTTACAACTGGAACTAAGTAGTAACTATTAACTAGTATTTAAAAGGTGTCCTAGGAACAACTTAACGAAACATGACAAAGTTGAAACCAGAATCCTCTATCGAGACTGTAGCTCTACTGGTTTGTACTTAAAACTAAGATAGAGAAAAGTAGCCAATGGGACTTTAAGCTTTACAACAGCAACAAATTAATAATAATCCTTGATCAAGTCTTTTTGGGGGGCAACTTCTGTGCCAAAGAACTATATGCGGTATATTGCATATGTTTGCCCCCACAAAAGTCAAATTTTGAAAACTTCCTGAAATGTGTTGAATTCAATAAATTGAGCGAGAAATATAAGTTAACAGAATATATTATAGTTCCAGAGCAGTGTATTCACAATTTCTGTTTTTATGACGTCACAAACTAGTCCGATTTTATATCCTTTTTCAGAAAGAGGACAAAATGGACAAAATTTCAACAATTAAAGCTTTAAAATTTATAGAGCGCATGTGTGTTCAGGAACAATATTGACATATTCATTCATTGATATTATCATTCTACACTTTATATCAAAATATTTATCCTGAACACACATGCGCTCGGTGACTTTTATTTAAAATATCGACGAAATATGTACATTTTTCTGCAAAATTCATAAAAAACTGAAATTTACGTCATATTTGTGACGTCATTACGTACATATGTCGTCATTACTTATGAAATTATTCAGTGCTTTGAAGTCAGCATATACTCCCCTGTTTAAGGACTTAATTAAATATTACTGCATCAAAGTTTGATTTTGGGGGGCAAATGTTGGTAAATACCGCATATAGTTCTTTAATTGAAATCAGACCAAAACTGTTGTAGAAGTAGCATTTTGAAAGTATTTCTCAGAAATGTCTATTTTTAGTAACCATGGCAACACCGTTCATTGAATTCAAAAACTGACGCACTAAATTATGTATCTTAGTGTAGTCTACTTGTGTGCCAAATTATATTGAAATCAGACCAAAACTGTAGGAGGAGTAGCATTTTAAAGGGATTTCACAGAAATTTCTATTATAGTAACTATGGCAACACTGTTCATCAAAATCAAATACCGATGCACTCTAATTATGTATCTTAGTGTAGTGAACTTGTGTGCTTAGTTATATTGAAATCAAACCAAAACTGTAGGAGGAGTAGCATTTTGAGAAATTGTTTACAGACAGACGGACAGCTAGACAGACAGACGACCGACACCTTACCATCACATAAACTCTTCAGGTCTCTGACCAGTAGAGCTAAATATGGCAGTTTCAAAATTTAAAGTATTTAATTAAACATATTTATGCAAGTATGTATTAAGTAGGCTAGGGGGTCAACTAAATATTGTTTTATTAACTACCAGATATAACTTAAATTTTGAGATATGATATCTTAAGCTGTCAACTATCATTTGGTGAAGAAAATTTTTAGTTTTAAAATTTGATCACTTTATATCTTTATATGGAACTCTTCATCTAATGGAGATCAAATTTGTCTTAAAATGGCCATGACCACCCAGCCTCTTTAATTTATAGTTATGTATTTTTTTTTAATTAAGGGGACCAGTGAAATTTTCAGTGGACCCCATTGCCAGAAACCCTCAGGTGATGTCGTCTTTACTTATCATCGCGCTGCTTTTCATTTCCAACATTCTTTAATTTCTTTTCTGACATTTTTTAATTTCATTTCCAACATTTTTTCTCATTTCCGGAATTTACCTTTGTGGCAATTTAATGTTTCCCAAGTGATTGAAAATGAAATTATAAAAGTGTTTATATGTTGCAAAATATATATTAAAAATGTAAAAATCCATCTACCATACATATACATGCATACAAAAATTATAGTTACATGTAGCACACAATGTGCACTAAATTAAATTTCAGAATAGCACCAAAAATATATCCAAGAATTTTGATTTACCCTAATCGAGTTTTTAAGTTTTGGTACTGCTCTACAAAGAACTTAATTTTTTCATATGTAAGTCTTCAAATCTTTTACTACATGTGCTACTGTAGAAGTACTTTTTTCTGCATGGTATTGATTAACGCTATGTACGCAGTCACAAATTTTTTGCAGAAATTTGTTCAAGCGTACTTAATGTAAATGCAGGGCATAAAATGACTGTCTAAGAAATCCGCATTATTTTCAACCCGCGGCCTAAATGGAAATTGAGATTTCGCGAAAATATGACCCCTTGGAAAAAAGTACATCTACAGTCTCCTTAAAATGTCAGAAATGAAAAGGTGATTACAAAAAATTCTGAAAATGAAATGCAGCCTATCAACCATGGGCAAACTAGCTGAAATATTGCAGTAAAATATGCTAATTTGTTGTTTATAGTTAACCAATCAAAAAGTTGGAACTCTTCAATTTTGAAAAATAGGTTTATTATTTTGCTATTTATTGTGTGAAATATTTTGATGCTTGTTAAAACGTGTGAAATTTGATTTAGAACAATTGAAGTCAATTGTACATATCACTGACATCAATACCAATCAGATATTATATAGGAGTACCTCTTTCTAACTGCAAAATGCAACGATGAGTGAATTTATTACGATTTTGCGAGTTTTCCCACAGGTGATAAGTAAAGACAAGATAACCCGTGGGTTTCTGACAATGGGTGGGCCAGTAAATCTTTAAAGTTCACTACTGGTCCGACTGGAAAGTAAGTTTGAGAAGTTTTTGTGAAGACTGCATAAGATAAGTTCACCAGAGAATCTAGTTTCCATATGGTACAGCAAAGATACATAAAAGGAACTTGTTAATGCTAAGAAAACTTTTTTACTAATACTTCAACACTGTCAAGAATGATCACCTGTCCAAGGTAAACAATGGTGGAAACAATATTAAGGCACTGAATAGACACTAAATTTTGGTTTGAATTTTTAAGAAAAAAACAAACATAGATAACAAATTCTAACTACCTCCTTATAAATATTTTTGAAATTACTAATTTTTCGACATAGGTAGTATATTAGTATAAGTATTATAATAATAATAAAAAAAAAAAGAAATAGGCTATTTTGTTCATCTTTATTTTTTGTAGTTGATTGACTCCTGATTTATATAAAACACATAAAACAACAATTAACAACATGTATATCTCTATATCTTTTTATTCTACTTGTATCTTTATTTGAAATTACATTTTACTATACTTTATTTTAGGCAATTGCCAGGAAACTGTAGTGATAAACCACGATCGACAATAAATCACAGGCATATATGTATATATTATTTGTAGGAGTTTCCTTTCTGCAAACCTTTATAAACAAGTTCAAGTTGTACTGCTATTTTTACCAACAATAACTTATCCAGATCCTTTATCAGGTTTATTAACATCCCGGTTCTGAGACATTAAGTATTAAGACAGTAAGTATAGTAAATAAATAGATAAAAATAATTATTTTCTTTTAACACTAGCAAAATGTAGCAGTGACTTGTTCTTCTCCGTGTGTCCATTATAAACTGCGCAGTATTATGCTGCGCCGATTGCGAAACACTCTGCAATAATGCTGTGTGAATAAATATACAATATACGAAAGGTTGTAATTATTCTGATAAATTCTACACTTTTCAAACCTTACATAATGAAACCAACAATCAGCAATGATCAATATATTGCAGATAAGCGTTAAGAAACGTTCTTCTTCTACTATCTCCAGATCAAAAATGGCTGCGCCTCGCTTTCAGATATTGGTACACCGCACCCGATCGAAAAAAAAATAAACAAACTCTGTTGATTTTAATCCTGACGTACACAAACTATACAAAATTGATTCTGCATTTAATAATGCTGAATCACTCACTAACTGAGGGTGCTTCCATATAACTATAACCAATAATGGCTTTGCTGTTCTTGAGAAGAAAAATTTCAAAAATTTCTCCTATGTACCGGTATTTCTATTTTAAACTTTGATCCCCCATTGTTGCTCCGCCCTACCCTGGTGGTCATGATTTGAACAAACTTGAATCTACACTACTTAAGGATGCTTTCACATGAGTTTCATGTTCCCTGGCCCAGTGGTTCTTGAGAAGAAGATTTTTAAAAAATACCATAAATTTTTCACAAATTCATAATTATCTCCCCTTTGAAGAGGGTTTGGCCCTTCATTTGAACAAACTTAAATTCCCTTCACCTAAGGATACTTTGTGGCAAGTTTGATCGAAATTGGCTCAGTGGTTCTTGAGGAGAAGATGAAAATGTGAAAAGTTAACGACGACAACGACAACGACAACGACGACGACGACAACAGACAACGGACAAATTTTGATCAGAAAAGCTCACTTGAGCCTTTGGCTCAGGTGAGCTAAAAACATACAACTTTAACATCCATTACAAAATTTTAAATATATCTTAGACTGATGCAAAAAACAATTCTTACAAATGTTATGAAAAAAACTTGTCATAGAAATATTTAACCTTCTCTATGTCTAATAAGTTGTTCGGACAGGTCAAATCACAGGACTGTGACCGTATACACCTAAATTACAGAATTAGGTTTTTGAATCATTTAATATGTATATATTGATGACAAAATACTGAGATATCTACAACTTCAATTCAAATATTTCAAAATGGCAACTCCGTGTTGACCTAGGTACTGTTTATATTTCATTGGCTAGTTTGATTTGTTTACTTTCTTGCAAACTTTCTGCAAACAACAGATTGACATGTGGGTTTTTACAATATTCTTGCAAACATATTATGAGTTGGTGCAAAACGCGAATTTCTTCAACCGTGTAGTAAGGGTTGTAATGTTGCCCGCAACATCGCAGCTAGGAAAACTTTCTCCCTGCATACCTTTTTTGCTGAAGTTGTTGCAAACAACAGTTTCTAAATGCCCAAACCAGCATTTCAAAAACCCAAGTTTAGAAAAACGTACAGCTTGTACATAAAAAATAAATAACTTTATATAATATTTCAATACATTACTTCAAGTACTTGTACTTACCAAAGATTAATATTCGTTTTTCGTTCTGGGTCACTGTAAAACAAAATTTGAGATTAATGACAAATAGAACGTCTTATTCAAAACAGATTCATGTTGGTACCTCGATTAAAAAAATTGATAGGACTTTCATCCTCCACATATATATTTATTGTGACAAGACCTTTCAGTCTGCTTGTTCCTTTGTCTGTCTATTAACTTAAACTTAGACCACAACTTTTGAGTGGGTGGGCATGTTTCACAGGCATATTTTGTGACAAGACCTTTCTTTGGGTACCACCAAATATGACATCTTGACCTTTGAGTTTGACCTACTTTTACAAAAAAAATTATTATACTACACTTTAACATTGGCCATAACTTTTGAACAGTTGGAGCTAGGGCGTTCATCCTTCACAAGTATATTCATTGCGACAAGACTTTCCAGGTTGTATAAATATTTGACATTTTGAACCTTAACCTTAGACTTTGACCCACTTTTTAAATTTGGTTTATGCCCCCAGATCGAAAGATCACAGGGGTACATTGTTATTGCCCTTTCTTTTTCTTTGTCTGTTCGTTTCTCTGTCTGTCAGTTACAAACTTTAACCTAGCAAAATAATTTGACCCACCAAAATCAAGCGCTTTCATCACTTTCATAAAACTTTAAGACTTTCCACATTTTGTATTATTTAACCTAGCCCATAACTATTAAGTGAGTGGGGCTATTGCTTTCATATTTCACAGGTGCATTCCTTGTTACAAGACGACTGTTTCCTGAGACTCCTGTCAACAACCATTCTGTTATTCTCCTACCAAATCAAATTCATATATTTAACAAAAGTAAAATTGTTTTGGGAGACATGTATTATCATATTTATGTGTATTTCTCAGCAATCATGAATCATAACAAACAAGAATAATATAACAAAGAGTTGTAAAGCTACTTCATCTAGCTAGAACTTGTAGGAGAATGCATTTCAATTTTACAATAGATTTGAACTCATTTTAATTGCTAATGGTAACGTTACATCTATTTAAAGGAAATATTGATTTTGTGAATAATCACGTTAGGAATACAGATGCTCCTGTTCTCAAAATTTCCAAACATTGGGTTGTCAAGAAGGGGAGGAAGTTCTTCCTCGCTAACATCAACAATAACTGAAAGTACATTCGAGTATCGACTTTTGCCGCAGCAAAACGAACATCGGCTATTTCTGTTATTTAAATTTATCTTTGCATCTTTAAATAACTCGGCACTCCTCGACTGATTACATTTAAATCACGGTTATGCAATCAGCCGAGGTTTGCCGAATGAGGAAAACATATATAACACAGTTTAGTGTCATATGACGTAAGCGGGAACCCTTTTTACAGTCAATTTTAACAGTTCCTTGGACCAAGAGTCGGCAAAAACAGTCAAACGGTTGGACTTTTTAGAGTTAGAAATTATAAAGGGACTGTTTAATTACATGTAGTAGAGATATAACAATTAGAACTAAGGCTTTCATATTTCACAGGCGAATTTCATGTAAGAAAATTTTCCTTTGGATACAAACAATTGTGATCTTTTCACCTTGACCTTAGAGTTTGACTCATTTTAAAAGAATTTTACAAAACGTTTTAACTGTTAGTACTAGAGCATTCATATTTCACAGGCGTGTTCTTTGTGATAAGACCTGCATTTGGGTACGTACAAACAGTTATGACATTTTCGCCTTGACCTTGGAGTTAGATTTGCATTTGAGAAACTTTAATCCTCGCAAAAACAGTCATACGGTGGCATCGGTGTTTCACAATCCATCTTGCTTTATTTTTATCTTCTTTTTGGCAGTCAAATAGGCAGACAGACAGACAGCAAAAAATGTACCATATGCTCTCTATGATAGCATATGGTTGAAATTCTCAAATGCAAGTTAAATTCCGAGTTCTTAATCAAAAGATAAAAATTGGTACCGGAAAAAGGTATTTTCACTAGGAAACATACCTGTGAAATATAGAAGCCCCAGTTTACAGTTCATTAGTTATGGTAAAGGTTAAACTTTTTAAAAAGTGGGTCAAACTCTAAGGTTTAAATTTCAAATATTTTATCATCTAAGAAAGAAAAGGGCCGCGTGGGGATACGGGTTAGAATAGGTCTTCAGTAACCCCTTGCTTGTCGTAAAAGGCGTCTAAATATGGCAGTTCTTTGGAAGAGACCGAATAAACCGAGGCCCCGTGTCACAGCAGGTGTGGCACGATAAAGATCCCTCCCTGCTCAAAGGCCCTGAGTGCCGAGCATAGGCCTAAATTTGCAGCCCTTCACCGGCAATGGTGATGTCTCCATATCAGTGAAATCTTTTGGAAAGGGACGTTAAACAGTATACAATCAATCAATATAAGAAAAGGTCTAATCACACTGAATATGCATGTGGTTTATCAAACTCCAGGTATTTTAAAGCTATGGCTGTGATTAAATGTCCAGTTTTTTTTTTTTTTTTTGTAAAATTGGTTCAAACTCAAAGGTAAAGGTCACAAGGTCCAATTTGGTGTTACCAAAAGAAAAGACTTGTCACAAGGAATGCACTAGTGAAATATGAAAATCATAACCCAACTAACCCAAAAATTATGGACAAGGTAAAAGATTTTTTGGAGATTCTGTGGACAAATAGACAAAGGGACAGACGGACGGACAGGACAAAATCTATATACTCCGAAACTTCGATTACCGGGGCATTAAAAGATAACTGCTTCTCAATTTACAACAGTTTTTATTTCTGCTACTGCAATTTTAAACTGATATTATGAAAAATAATGCATGCAAATTCTATTTCAAAATATCCTGTTCTTACATGTATAGCGTGTCTTCTTTCCTCGGAATGATACATTTGTTGAACCATGAACACTGAGTACCAAGCTTACAACAATAAGTTGTACCAATACAACAATAGTAACCTGAATCTGGGCACTGGCTATCCAAGTAGCACATATACGTTTCATCTAAAATTGTATAAATTATAGATACATATATACCGGTAGTTGTATAGGTAAATTATAGTAAAAAAAAACTTATAATAAAAATTTGCCGGTGCTTTTCCTCTGAAAATGTAAATGAATCCGTTTGCGAGGAAGGAGGTACTGATGGAATGTAATTCGGAGTAAGATACCTTGTATTATTATTATACGTATACTGAAAGGAAAAAGAAACGCATGAGTACATATTAAGCGATTTATAACAAAATATTTTGACTATGTGGCCGAAAATTATAAAAATTGGTTAGATTTGTATTTTCGTTTCTTAGCAATAGAATCACTGGTCAAAACTACTCAACCATGGAATGTATGGCGTCACGTGGAGGAAATTATAAAAAGCCAAAAAACACATGCATATTGATGAGGTCAATTTTGTGATCACAATTTGTAATGCCTAACGATGCATTAGAGTTATAGACATCATTTTTGCATATATCTGTAGTGAGTATAGATTTCTTGTGATTTTGGTATGGCGGTCGGAAGTTACATTGGGTCTAGTGATTGAATTGTATATAAAAATGAATAAAAAGGCAAACACATGTTGTTGTGCAGTTTGTTTTTTACTTTTTAACCAAAAAGTTTTTTTTAGATGTCAGCGAGTAACTTTATAGGTTTCATAGGATACCAACCCTGATGATGACGTTTGCGCGTAACAACATCAGGGCTTTTCATCATGCCACCTCGATTATTGTCGAAGCATTATCAGTTAAACCGATATTTTTACAGCAGACAATCATACTGTTAATTTTTATCCTAATACTGACAGAAACTCTCTGCTCTAAGTTACATCCGTACGTAAGCATCGTATACGTAATATTTTAGCATGTTCACACTGGGAAATGTAGCCAGTGTTTGACGAGAGTTTTTTGACATCCATTCACGTGTACCAAACTTTTTGGATTCTGTTATTTCTATCCTGAATCAAAAATTCGTGAGATTCATTAGGCTGGAGGATTTGTTGGCTTTAGAATGACACAGCTACATAAACTCTCAACCATGATTGCATGTAAGAGTACCGCCGGATGGGTTGAATTATAATCCTATGAGAAAGATAAATGCTCTGTTGAACTCAATGTACAGGAGAATCGAGGCTATTGCCGATGCGCAAGGGAGGTGATGAGAATGTTCATTTTAATGTTTGAGAGGTATCGACATTTAAGCTTCAATCACACATGAATTATCAATCAAAGTCACACAGGGCTTTGGTAACTTGTTGATTAATGATGAATTAAGATATTTGATAACAATTCTAGAAAACATTCGAAATAATGATTTTTATTTTCTTCAAAAGTTACTATGCGTTTCTTTTTCCTTTTAGTATACAATGGGGTCAATTTGTTCCCAAACAAGTGCCTGTGGTATCCGTGAATATAGTTAGTCCTGAATGACATTCCATTGCCTCGAAATCATTATCAGCTGATCCTGAATTAATTAACAACAATTTAATATATTACAATATTACCTGTGAACTAATTTAATCGAAAATATTCAGAGAATTGTGGTTCCCCAATTTTGGTGTCTTTGTGGGTGATATGTCATTCTTATGGCATATTGTGTTAAAAAAGAACGCTCTATCATTCATTGATTTTATTCTAAATTAGGTCAATCGTGAAGGTAAAGGTCTTTTTTTTGGTCAGAAATCATTGCAGGCTTGGATATTTTTGTCACATGTACTGCACATGTCAAACATGAAAGCCCTATCTCTTTTTAATCAAAAGTCATCAGGAAGAAAAATGATGAAAACAATTGTATAAAGAATGTCAAACTTCAAGGCCAAGAACACACTATCAAAAATAATCGTGTCATAAGAAATTTCTTGTCACATGCAATACATAAATTTAATTCGAAAGCCGATAGAATATTTGTCACAGATAAACACAACTTAAATCTGAAAACTCTGCATCTTCTCTTTCAAATGTTATCGTAAATTTAAAGTAATGATTTTTTAAGTAATTCAAACTTCAAGGTCACGGGGTCAAAATTCATAATGTATTTAGAAAGTCTTGCTTGTAATACACAGATTTAATGCAATCAAAAGTTATAAGGAAAAATCAACTTTTTTAAAAGGTAAAATGTAGGTCTAACTTTAAGGTCAAGGTCACAGATCAAAAATAGCTGTGTATCGAGAAAGGTCTTATTACAAGCAAAACACAGATCGAATATGAAAGCCCTATCCTTGCTCATTAAAAAGTTATGACTTAGGTGAAATGTATGGCCTTTTTAAAATAATGTTATTTTTTTTTAAAGTAAGTCAAACTTCAAGGTCAAGGTCATGGGGTAAAATTCATATTGTATTAGAACGTTTTGGTCACAGGTAATAGACAGGTGTAATATGAAATCCCTATCTCTTCCCATTCAAAAGATATGACCAAGGAATAAGTTTTTGTGTCGGACGGACAGATTGCCAGAACCACAGACTGACAGACGAATGAGAATTAATATACCTTCGGTTTCGCAAATGCAGGGGATAATAAAAGAAAATGTTTGTATTCACAAGAAATAGAATGTTTTTATCAATTGCCATTTTATATATTTTCTCGATTCAGGAAATGAAAGAATTCGAATTGAAATTGAGGATATTATGTTAATTAAATTTTAAAAACATTACTTTAAAAAATCTTACCATCTGTTCCTGAACAAAGATAGATAAAATCAAATATTAGAATTATCAGCACAGATTTGGATGTACTCATTTTTATTGGAGAAATGTATTTTGAAAGTTGATGGCTTGATTTCGCAATAACCTGTAGATAGAAAAACAGTTTTAACAGGTCGACACCACTAGAGTTTCTGACGTCAGCATAAATTTGCATCATATGCGCTTGGTGAAGGATAATGCGTAATTTCTCTATAATGTATTGTCGAGGTAATTAGAACTATACTCTGAACATTTTTCCCAGCGCACAGTATTAATTTTAGGGTTTTTTTGTAAACCTGTCTGCTTGATCTACACTAGAATGCCACGGAAAATATATTTTATGCACGTTTTAAAAATGACATATCCCACTGGATACTAAATATTTCTTTTTAGTATGCAGTGGGATATGAAAAACGAAATAAATCCGGGAAATTCAAATTTAGAACTGTTACATTGATTCATATTCCAAATTATGGAAAAATAGTTTTCTTCGCTAAAAAGAAATCAATTGAAGAGAAAGATTTCGCTCATTAAAGCGACAAAAATGATGACGTTGTTGAACGTCACGGAGCAGCAGATTAAGATGAAAGAATGATTCCACTTAAGCTTTTAGTGCCGTGATCCCCTTTTCGGACTCCTCTAACTTCTAATTAAAATTTAAAACTGTGCTTAAGTTTTATGAAAGGTAATTAAAAAAGACCTAGAGTGAATGTTAATTCCGGAATGTTACGCTTGTCTGATTTGGGTTTTTAATGTGTCTCATTAATATTCGAAGAAGGTGGGGCATTTCATCGATGAATTGAAAACACGTACATATCCAATTTATATAATGGCTTCTGAGATATAAATACTTAGTTCATGTTATTGTGTACAGAATAGCAAAAGAAAAAAAATTGCGGTGCTGCATGTGGTGACATTTTAATTATCACTAAAACAAATTTCTTCATTGTATATGTGGTTGTTTTTGTCCCCCGCTTTCGCAAAAGCAAGGGGACATGAAATCTCCTTCGTCTGTCTGTCAGTCTATCAGTCTGTCAGTCCGTTAAAAAAACCTGAACCTTGCCAATAACCTTTGATTAAGTGGAGCTTCGACTTTCACATGTGATTTACTTATGACAATACATTTCTTTGATTAACACCAAACTTGAGCTTTTGACTTCAAAGTTTGACCCATTTTTACACAAAATTTCCAAACGTTTACTTTGGCAAAAGTTTTGAATGATAAATACTGGGACTTTTATATTTCAAACATGTATTACTTGTGGCAAGAGTTTTCAGTAGATACCAAGAAAATTGACTTTTTGACCTTGACCTTGGAGATTTTATGATAAAACTTTAACCTTTGCGATAACTTTTGAACGGTACATGTAGGGGCCAGGGCTTTCATGCTTCAAATAAGTAATCCTTATAAGAACACATTTTATTGAATAACAAATGCTTTTACCCTACTACCTTGTCCCTGAAGTTTGACTTACTTTTTCAAAAACTTTTACCATGACCACAACTTTTGAACGGTAGATACTAGGACTTCATATTTTTTCACATATGTATTTTTTTGTCACAAGACCTTTCATTGGATACAAACAACTTTGACCTTTTGACCTTGACCTTGGAGATTTCCGTACTTATATAAAATATTTCAACCTTGACCCTGAATTTGAAGTTGCATTTACTTAAGGCTATGACTTTCGTATTTTACATAGTTATGTTATGCTTGTGACATGATCTTTCATTGGATGTCAAGAATGACCTTAACATTTGAACTGACCTACATTTCAAAAATTTAACCTTGACCATAACTTTTGAACGGTTAGGGTTTACATCTTTCACATACATGTATGTAATCCTTGAGACAAGACCTTCTTAAGAAACCAACAACTTTGACCCTTTGACCTTGGAGTTTGTCCTATCTTTTAAAAATGTATCCTTGGCCATAACTTTTGACCTGCTGGTGCTAGGGATTTCGTATTACCAATTGTATGACGTGTGAGAAAACGCTACTTTGGGTAATTTCATATTTAATTTGCATTTAAGAAAAGGTTTAATTTTCGCTATGTTATCAGTGTTATTCAAATGCTTCTTGTTCCTTACATTGAGAAGAGATGGGCTTTCATATTTGACATGCGCATTTCTTGTTTCTGACCCCTTGACCTTCACGAATGAACTTATCAAAAAAAAAAACTTCAGTGATAATTTCTAAATGACATATGAAAGGGCGTTCATATTTGGCACAATATGTCATAAAAAGCATCTCAACCACAAAGACACCGAAAGCGAGGGACCACAATTCTTTGAATATGCTTTTTTTTGTTTGTTTCTGGTCCCAGTAAGCACTCAAGTGTTAAATCATCTACGTACTTCTACCCTGTGTGTATTTTATTTCTATAGTCAAAAATACTTTGAGGAAGGCCACTGCAACGATGGGGACTATGTCACAATGAAGTCAGTGATATGTCAATACCCGTAAATAGTGAAGAAAACGGTTGGCGTTTCAGTACTGATTTAAGCTTTAAATTATTCATAATCCCGGGGCCAGGACATTTAAACTTCAGATATATATTTTTTGTTGAAAGAACTTTTATTGGATACCAACAAATATGAACTTTTGACCTTGACCTTGGAGATTTCCATCCTTGTGATAAAACTTTAACCTTGGCCATAACTTTTGAACGAAAACGGATAGTGCCTTCATACTTACATGTATGTAATTCCTTTGAGAAGACTATTCATTGGATACAAAGAACTTTGACCCTTTGACCTTGCCCTTAGAGTTTGACCCATGTTTAAAAAGTAAACCTTGACTATAACTTTAATAGGATTAGAGTTAGCGCATTCATACTTTACATATTTTATCCTTGTGACAAGACTTTTCTTTGGGCACCACCAAATCTGACCCTGTGTCCTTGACCTTGGAGTTTGACATACATTTCAAAATTGGTAACCTTGACCTTAACTTCTGAACGGTTGGGACTAGTGTTTCCATATTTCACATATGTATTTTTTGTGGCAGGACCTTTCAATAGATAACAATAACCTTGACATTGGAGATATCAAGAAATACCAATGAATTACAGTTGCATATAAAAAAGTTTCACATTTGCTATGTTGCCATACGGGGGCATAAGTGTTTCACAAACACATCTTGTTTAAATTGTATTTAATTGATTTACTTAAAACAATAATTCATTAACTAAGTCAACGAGAATTCAGAGCAGTAATTACTTAAGGGGATGAAGGACCTTTAGCTGAAAAAATGCCTGTCATTTAATTTTTTTCATATTTTGTATATATCTTATTTAGTATATCCTTAATACTATAAAGCAGACATATCAATAGGTTTCTAGACTTATTTCTGAGATATTGAGTGACAAATTCTATACCCCACAGTGTCTGAGCGAAGTTTTTATTCTCCGTGTTTCTGGGTCCATTACTCGGTCGATAATTGAAATTTTTCACCATAGATAAAAAATATACCAGAGGAAATGTGCCTTTTAAAATATTTTAGAGTATGAATAGGGTTAAAAATTCGAAAAAGCAAGATTCTTTTGTAACACTACATCTGGAGACGGAAATTTACAACTTTTTTAGGACAACTTAAACCAGAAAAAAATTAATTTGCAAAAAATCCTATCATTCAATATTTGAAAATTTACGTCGAAGTTGAAGGTCATCATTGTATTGATTAACTGTAAAGATATCGATTGGTGAAGCTGAGCTCAATATTGCAAGGGGCAAAGTTAAAGGAGTCATGATCATGAGAAAAAAGTGTTATGTTTATACATTTCTCGAGTACGGGAAAACCCAACTATGACGTCACACATTCCAGAAATAAGCGAAATAATACAAACCCACAGAACTTTTCCGTCAACAACCATGTAAAAATATTTTTTGCGTTCTGAAAGAACGAGTGCACTTATGGGCCCCGGTAAAATGTGAAAAAATAAACATTCAAATTAAGCAAAATTTTTCATCCCAAATCATTAATTGATATCTAAACTGTAAGTTTCAACAAATTTTACCGCTGAAATTCACGTATATACAAAGAACAAAACCATAGAATGCGGCAGGGGTCAACCGACATTTGTGATTTTCTATTGTAAATCGAGAACGGTCATTCATTTCAAAGCTTTTGTTTACTATGAGCCTAACTTTGTACAAACTTGTGCGAATGACAAAAGACGCATAATACATTTATAAAACTTGTGTGAAAGTAGGAAATTTGTACACGATTAGGCTGGTAGTTAAAATATTAAAAATGTACAAAAAGTACAATGTTTTTCCTATAGCAAGTGAGAGGTATTTATCTGTATGACCCATGTTGAACCCACTTGTGGAATAAATTATTTAAAATACTGATAGTCACGTGAGTTCTACCCAGGTAAACATTCCTCAAAGGTGCTCACTGTAAAACATCGGCAGGTTTTTTATCATTTAGTCAAAGTCGCGCCGCTTAGAAATATTTCTATGTATCTTATTTTAATATTACGGCAGGGTAAAGAGAGTTAAGCGCCACTCATGAAAGTGTCAGACATTTTTAACATTTATGCACGACAATGAAACAGGTATTGAAAGCCACCTAAACACTCCTTTTAGATTTCAAATTCATTTTATTGTATATATTTTTCGAATGCAAGAGTACCGATTTCTTAGTTTGATTATTATGGCTACAGGCAACTATACAACTTTTCTCAATTTTTAAAACAGATATAGCACAAAAAAGCTACATTCCACAAACGCGCCCGACTATGATCCACCATCAGATTGTTGTCCCCCGCTTGAAAAGTGGGGGATATTAATTTGGGTTTGTCCGTCCGTCCGTCCGTCCGTCCGTCTTTCTGTCTGTCTGTAACGCTTTCGTTTCCACACGATATCTCGAGAACCCTTTGAGCTTTTGCAATGAAATTTAGCATAGCAACTCCCTATGGACTGAAGAAGACCCCTATTGATTTTGAGGTCAAAAAGTCAAAGGTCAAGGTCATAAATAAGCAAATTCTGTCTGTTAAAACACTTTCGTTTCCACACGATATCTCTAGAACCATTTGAGCTATTGCAATGAAATTTTATATAACAGCTCCCTATAGCCTAAGGAAGACCCCTATTGATTTTGAGGTCAAAAGGTCAAAGTTCAAGGTCGTAAATTTATACATTCTGTCTGTGTGTAATACTATTATTTCCGGGCGATATTTCAAGAAGATTTTGAGCTAATGCAATGTAATTTATATCAAAACTCCCTAGGACGTCTCTCGCCCCTCTCAAAGTGCCCCGCCCCGTTTGTTTTATTAGTATT